AGTGATTCACTGAGATTATAATCAGACTCCACTGACACTGACAGAGCAGTGTGAGACTCTCCAGGCTGGACTGGACTGGTCCTTATCTTGTTCTGGGCTGTCAGATATCAATGTTGCTGTGCAGGAGAGAGCGCACTGAGAGGATGAGTGTGGAGGTGGAGAGGAAGTTTGTGTGCGGCCCGGATATCCAGACCAGACTGAACGATTTGGCAGGTGAGCTCCCGCGGGTCTAGCCAGGAAATGTAATCAAATGCGGATGAATCGGATTATCCGTGACCAGGTTAGCGCGGGCTCTCTCGGATCGTCGCGGCGGCTCTCCCTCCTCCCCGGCGGAGCCCCGAGAGTGTGGGAAGATGAGCTGGACGTCCGCTCTGCCCTATTCCCCGGTCCCAGTCAGCCCCGACACGGGGACAGGGGAGAGTGTTTCACAAAATGTAAAGGAGGAGGTTACTGCTTGCTGGCTGTCAGAGCCACAGTTAAAATGCTTGTTGTGTCCAGGCGTCATGCTCATGTAGTTAATACTCTCCCGCTCTCTCCTCTCCCTCCCTGTCACTGCTCTCGCTCTCTCCTTTCAAGTTCAAGTCTGTCACGTGTACCTGAGTACTATGAAGTGCTTACTTGCATGTTTTCCTCAGCTGACAATTGACCTAACAGGTGACATAACAGTGACATAGAAAATGACATCACAAATGACATCACAAATCCTGGAGACAGGAACAGGGTAGTAGCTGTAATTTAAATCTCTGCCCCCTCTCTGCCTTCTCTCTCCCCTCTCTCTTTCCTCGCGTTCCTATCTCGCCTCTCTCCCCTCTCTGTCAGTAGCAGTGTGTCTGGGATGTGCTCAGTTCCTGGACCAGTATTTTGACACTCCTGACTGTCGCCTCACGCTCCGGGACGTCTGGTTGCGCCGCCGCCAGGGCAGCTGGGAGCTGAAGTGTCGCGACGGAGCGACAAGGCGCCGGAGCGCCGCGGAGAGCCGCCAACAGGAGAGAGGAGGGGACGCGCTCTGCACCCGCTACCGGGAGATCACAGAGCTGGCAGAGGTCATCGCCAGGGTGAGAGAGGAGCTGCGAGAGGGAGACCATGAGCAAGCAGCGAGGGTTCGAGACGGACAGATGAGGGAAGATGGAGGGGGAGAAGGAAAAAGCCCAGCTTCAACAGAGACACAGGTGACTGGAACTGGAGCCCGCCTTGGGACAGGAAGTGACATCGGGCAAGGAAATGCAGAAATCCCACCCACGGGAAGTGACATCAAGACAAGTGATACAGAAGACCCTCCCACAGGAAGTCAGGTGTCAGGGGGAGAGGAAGAGAATAGTAGCCCCTCCTGGGTTCGGGAACTCTGCCTCTTCCCCTTTGCTCAGTTCACCACTGAGAGGTGCTCTTACATCCTGCCCATGGAGGGGGAGGAGGAAGAGGTGGAGGGAGGGGGGACGCGGGTCGATCTGGACCGGACAGATTTTGGGTTCTGTGTTGGTGAGATCGAGGTGCTGGTCCAGAGCCCAGAGGAGATGGATTCTGCACTCAGGAAGATTGAGAGGACAGCCCAGAGACTGGGTAACTGACTGTCTGTGTGACTGTGAATGAGTCTGTGTGACT